CACTGACTCAGCTTAGAGGGAACACGGGTTTACCTTTCTGGCTATTGGGTGGGTGGGGGGAGATGATGAGGTGAAGGGTGGGAGGAGGGAGCCTCTTGTGCAGGGGGGGGTTGGGGCAATGCAGCCTGATTTTCTCCAAAGTGGGGGGTGGGAGTCCCTGCTGTGGGTGGAGATCTCAGCGGCTTCTCTCCCTCCTCCTCGTGGCCCGCCTGCCTGCCTGCCTCTCCAGCTGCGCCCTGCAAAGGCCCGGGGTGGGCAGGCTGCTGCCTCCTGTTGGGGGGCGGGGCGGGGAAAGGGGCCTCCCTGGAGCTACCTGGGCAGGGAATCTCCTGCATGCAAAGCAGAAAGCGCTCCTTGCTTGGGGGAGGGGGAGGAGGTGGCTCTCAGAGGGAGCTGGGAGGAGGGAGAGGAGAGATTTCCCTCTGTGTCAGCTGACCTCCCCCCCACCGCCCAGATTGTGAGCCCCCCCTGAAGAAGGAGGGGGGTCTGCCCGAGGGGCCAGTCCTGGAGGCCCTGCTGTGTGCGGAATCCGGGGACAAGAAGCCGGAGCTGAAGGAGGAGGAGCTGGCCTCGGACTGCCAGGTAAGAGAGGCCGCGGGGGGGCCCCCTCCTCGAGCCTATGGAACAACCCCACCCCCCACAAGCCCCTCCGGAGCCCGCTCCCCCTGCCAGGTTGTCTGCGGGGCTGAGAGCTGGGAGGGGCTGCCCTCTGCCAAGGAGGGGGGCAGGAAGGGTCTCTTTCTGTGCCAGGCGTGATGGGCGGCAGTATGTGTGGGTGTGTGGGTTAGGGTTAGGTGGGGGCTGCTGTCTGCTGCTGCTGGCTAGGCCCTGAGCCAAGCTGTGGGGGGGCGGGGGCGGCAAAGGTCCCTCCCCAAGGTGGCCCCAGGAAAGTCCCCCTCCCCCTCCCGGGCTCACCTGCAACGGGAGGGTGAGCACCCCGGCCTACCTTCCAGGGCTGTTGTGGGGAGTATGGCGAGGCTGTGTTTCTCTCCGGGCTTTGTGTGTGGAGGGGTCCAGCTTCCCAGCCCTCCAGCAGCCCTTTTCTTTGGTTCTGCTGCAGAAGGCACCTGTCGGGGAATTCCTGCATGATTTGGACCCAGAAGACCTGGAGGACGATGCGCCCCGCAGGAAGAACAAAGCCAAGGGCAAGGTGAGGGTGAGGGGGGGCTGGGGGCGGTGCAGGGGGGGGTCTGCTGGCTCTTTCCGGACTGTTCCACCCCCTGCTGCTCAGCCGGAGGGCAGGAGGGCGCCACAGGGCAGGCCAGCCAATGCCAAAGCAAGGACAGCAGCAGGCCAGCCGGACGGGACACTTACACAAGTCAGGGGAAAACAGCAGAGCATTTTATTTATCTTTTTTTTTTTAATGAGGAGCTAAGGAGGCAGCTGTTGGTGTGCGAAGAGGGTGGAGGGTCAGAGTAGGACTGGAGGAGACCCAGGTTCGAATCCCGGCTGCGGCACACACCCATGCAGCCTAGCCTACCTGACAGGGTTGTGGTGAGGAGGGGTAAAGTGGAGGAGAAAAGAAGGATGGGACCTGCTCTGGATCCTGGGGGAGGTGGAGGGAGAGGTGGCTCTCGCCCGTCTCCTGCCTCCAGCTGCCCAGCACTTGGGGGGGGGGGGGGCAAAACCTCCCCG